AGTCATCTTTACCTTTTTTCTTCTCTCAACTCTTATATTCAACTAGAGGCCCAGTGCATGAAATCATGGGTGGGTAGGGTCCCTAGGCCTTGCCTGCAGTCAGGGCCATCTTCCACCCGTTCACCAGTCCCCAGTCCCGCCCCGCCGCCAACACCCACCCCCATTCCCATTCACCATCTGGCGATCTATTGGAGCCTGTGGGCCCAGAGGAGGGACCAAGAGATTGGCCATGCCTCTCGCTTGCCAGTTTCCAGTCCCGCCCTACTGCCACCCACCCTGGTTCCCCATGGTTCCCCATTGGCCATCCAGCAATCGGAGCCTGTGGGCTGGGGGGAGGGACCAAGAGATGGTCAATGCACCTCATAGCGACTGGTCAATTGGTTGTTCTGATTGTTACGCCATTATGGTCACTGGCCTTTTATTATTTAGGATAGATCAGCACATTCTATTTGGTCTCTCTTCAAATTTTATTTCCAATCTAACCACTCCTCACCATCCCCACCTTCCCCTAAGACCCATCATCTCTGAGTGGACTATTTCAGTGGTCTCATCACTGGTATCCCTGCTTCCACCTTATCTTTCTCCTGAACCCAAGGTAATCCTTTTTTCCCCTTTTTTTATTGATTTTTTAAATGACATTGGTTAATAAAATGATATAGTTCTATAATACATCATCTGTATTGTATGTTCACTACCCCAAGTTAAGGCTCCTTCTATCACCCTTTATTCCCACTTTACCTTCATCTGTGTCCCCCCCATCACCTTTTTCTCTGATATTCACCATCTTCTTGTCTGTGTCTATGAGGGTTTTCTTATTTGCTTGTTCTTTGCTTAATCCCTTCATCTTTTCCACCCAACCCTGAATTCCCTCTCACCTCTGACAACTGTCAGTCCGTTTTCTATCCATGATTCTTTTTCTGTTTTGTTAGTTTATTTTATTCATTAGATTCATAATAATCTCCAGGTCCATCCATGCTGTTGTAAAGGATAAGATTTCTTTCTTTTTTTACAGCTGAGTAGTATTTCATTACTTCTTCACAATAAAATGTGCCATCCTTAAAAAAAACTATACACGATTTGCAACCCCCACTACCACTAATGTGCACTCGCACACACACATACACCCCTCTTACCTGCTCTCTGACCCCTTCCTCTGATTTGCTTTCCTGTTTTCCCTGCTTCCAGGCACTCTTTTTCTTCAAAGCATGAGTGTTCATGCTTCTCCCTGCCTGAAATGCCTTGCCCCATATGTTTTCCTGGCTTGTTCTCTCCACTCGGGTCTCTGGGTAAAGCTCACCTTGTTACCTTCCACCACCCTCCCTGACCACATCTAAAAGGGCACCCCATGAGAGGTTTATTCTCTTCCTAATGTCACCATCACCTAACACAGGCTTATTTGTTTCTTATCTTACTCGTTGGGAGGGTGTTTTCATGAGAGCAGGGCTGGTTTCTGTGGGCTGTGCCCTTTTCCATAGGGTCCTCACAGTGCCTGGTGCAGAGATCAGTAGTTCTGCTGAACTCTGCTCAGTTATCCATTCCTGGTCTCTTTAGGACAGAAGTTTAATTCTGCTAGGCATCAGAATCACTGGGGCATTTTACTAAAATGCACTTGTCCTGATGTCACCCCCAGAGAGGTGAACACAGTGGATTTTGGGGGAGAACCCAGAACATTTTTTATCAAACCTCCCCTCCCCACTCCCGTTGATTTTGATGTCTGAGGTAACTGGACCACACTTGGCAAATGCTGTCTCATTGTACCAGTTTACATTCGTTACGTTTCTCTGCTCGGTTGAGCGTTGTTTCAAGTGAATCAGCAGTTCTTGAATTACCTAGGAACCTACATATAGATCTCTCAGCCCCACCCCAGATTTTGTGAATCAGAACTTCCAGGATGGATTCCGGGAATCTATTTTTTTGAAATCCTGTTAGTGCCTCCAATACTGAGTCTGCTAGTCAGTCTTCTCACTAGCTTTTGGGAGCCCAGCTGTGTTTTATGGACTCTGAGAGGAGGTAATAAACTCAAGAGCAGGTGCTTTATGTCTTCTTAGGCCAGCTTCTCCCCCAATCCCACATTAATTCAACAGTGTTCTGTTAAAAAATAGTATTCGGTAAGTCACTGTGGAATGAATGCCTGGATCTATCCACATTTCCAACTTGCCTTTGTAACTTGAGTATCAACCAGTATTTATAATTACATTTCAACCTAGCTAATGCTCTGACTAGAGGCAGGAAGTGAGTCTTAGTTGCCCAGCTCACCCTGGTGGAGCTGCCTTGTGGTCCTTTCTGTTCAGAAATTTGAGAATGTGTTTTTCAGGTCAGACCAGACAGCCCTGGGATAATGTCAGCCATGATCAGACTTCGATTCTAACCTGCTGCACCTCCCCCTTGGACCTGAACTGGGATATGTGTGCTTTGGCTGTCCTCTACCTCAGGGTGCCTACCTGGTCTCCAGAGCATCCCCAAGCAAGGGGAAAGGCCTGATCACTTGTCTGGGAGTCTGCCTGGTCTGCTCAAGCTGCCAAGGAGGGTATGCCTAGATTAGATTCCTTCTGGGGCTGGTGGCCTTGCCCTAGGAAATAACATTTGCAGAAGTTTATTCCTTGGCAGACTCAAAGCTAGCTTCCTGTTTGTGAGGACTCATTTATGCAGGCCCAAAAAGGTCATCTTGGTTAACCTGTTTCTTAAATACCCATGGGGTGCTTTGGGTGGCCGACTGGTATCCTTTTTAATTATGTTGGTGTTTCTCTGTATTCTTGGTAGAAGGTGTCAGGGCAGAATCCAGAAAGGAGCAGTGTCACCCAGGGATGCCTGAGAGGCACTTGTCACCCCAGCACACTGTCTGCACCTGAGAGTTTTGCCTCTGGATAAGCCATGAATTTCATTTTGATGCCAGATGTGAGAAGCTGTTAGTAATCAGGATGACTGGCCTGGGAAGTCCGGTTCCCAGGTGGTAGTGCTTCCTCTGGAGGATTTGTCTGGGAGGCACCAGGGCTGCGAGTTAGTGACAAAGGGAATGAATTGACCCTAGACATGCAAGAGTGAGAGCTTCCTAATGAGACCTGACAGTTCAAGGGCAGAAGGAGCCTAATCTTTTTCTCCCTGCCCACCCAGTCTTCATACAAATGTAAATATGCCTCCTTCAACAAATTGTCAAATGTGGTTTTAATTTGTGTGAGCCTGCCTTGCCTCTTTTCTTTCTTCTTTCTCTTTCCTTTTTTTTTTTTTTTTTTTTTTTTTTTTTTTTTTGCAAAGGAAGATACAGGTTTTACACCTTTTGAACTGGACATTTCCGTCTGTCACTCCTCACTTTTTCTGTTGTCCTTTTTCTTTCTAGGACATTTCCCCCATTGTTTGTCATCTGAGGATTTTGGGATGAGAGGGGATCTTCCTGTTTCTTTAAGAAGTTTTTGAAGTTCCCATAGGAAATACATAGTGCTTTTCAAACTAAGTTTTACAATAAATACATGTGAGTGTGATTGAAGCCAGTGTGAGGCTCGAAGTGTCACGATCATGCATCCAACTCTCTGTGCTCACCGCAGTATCCATTGTTGTTATTTATGACCCTGTCTGCCTTCCATTGTGGACTTCTTCCAGCCTTGGGGAATTTACATCATTCCTAATAGCAAAAGGCTTTCTGGTTCCCACAGAGTTGTTCAAAGCCTGACTCATGCTCCTTATGTTAATTGTTCAGCTCTGAAAATACAGCACTTACAGGGTGTGGTTGTAAGGGGGAAATCTACTGTACTTACAGGGCATGTTTAGAAGTGTTTCACACATAAATCTCAATCTCTCTCATTTAACTTTCAAACTGTAGTTCTTTTTGGTCAACTAGTCAGTCCTAGGAGGGGGAAAAGGGAGAAGTATTAAAATGCAGTCTAATCCAAAAAGATCTGTAATAATTTGTTCACTAACTCTTTCAACTGATGTAAGTTGTCCTGGATATGACTTTGGGTGACACTGGTCCAAGCCTGAGACCATAGGCAGGGCAGTGATGGGATGTGGGACACCCAGGCATTCCACCAATGGCTCTCCCAGGCTCCCTGGGGCTGTCCTGGTTAATTCTATTGTAAGTCTAAAGCCAGGACCTCATGATAATTTACCAAAACTGTTCCTGTGGCAGCAGCATTTTATTGTGGAATTTGATGGAGAAGGGTACATGGTGTCCTAGAAAATGAGAGAGGTTAATGCTTTGTCTGAATAATTTATTTGCTAACAAAAAGAAAGCTATTCCAAAGTAGGAAACGAGTCCACATTGGTGAAGGTTGGGAGTTTTTCACACTTTATAATTGCTTCTTGATGCTTCTAGGGGAACATATAAGGATAGGTAGACAGATACTCGATACTCTATAAATTATATAATGCAATAGTGATGCTGTTCATTTAAGAAAAAAACAAAACAAAAAACTCCCAGTTTTTTCAGTAGCCAAGATTCTCAAACTCTAGTTTTTAAAGGACCAGTGTTAGAAGGTTTACCTCTAACACTGATGCATTCTTGAGTATTTGCAAAGGCCATATTCTGTATTTTCATAGCAAGAGGAAATCTGGGGAGTTCTTGGTATAATCAAGTTCAGACCTCTGCACCACCAGGTCTCCCTGGAAGATCAGAGTGACAAACACACTGTTGCCTGGCATTGTGGCTCTGAGACCCTATCAGTATACTTAGTCAAAAAGTGCTCTGGGCATCAGCATGGTTTGGGCTCAGAGATTCCCTGCATTGGCCAAGGGTCCCCAGATGGTTTAGAATCAACATTCTTTCCATCACAGTCTTGTAAGTTTGTGGTGCCTGTTAATGTATGAAGTGTGCATGCTGAGAGCCCAAAATAAGTGACAACTTACCAAAAAGTTCTAGATTTTAAAAAATTCAAATAGCCTCACACTAAGCAGTTTCATATCGTCCTCACAAAAACAAGTGTGTTCACTGGGAGGCTGAGAGCGTCACGGCTTTCTCTCATGTTCAGCTATTAGATTTCTGTTGGAACTTTTGTTATCTTTTGGAATAGACGGGAAGAGCTCTCCATGGAGTGTCTGGTTATTTTGCTGAGTGTGCAGAGGGTCCACTTCCTCCCAGTGCAAAGCGCAAGAGAAGAGCTCTGAAAGAAATGTGAGTCCACTGCGTTTCCTTTTCCTCGTGTTTGACTGTCCATGTGTGTGAACACATGACATGGAATGGAGAGTCCCACAAGAGTACATGGGACTTAATCACAGACCCTGGCACCCAGCCTACCTTAAGTCACACACTCGTTCTTCCACCTTCCTGACTCCCTTTCTCCTGCTTTCTGGACAACAGGAACCGGAGCCTTGCTTCACAGGTGTGTTGCAAGGACTAATTAATTACAAGCGCTTTGAAGATGAAAAGCACCTGTTGGTGGTGTGGTTCATTCAACTTTCAGAGTGACTACAGACAGATCTAAAAAAAAAAAAAAAAAAAAAGCATTCCTTTTCTAAGATGCTTGTTCCGACCCTAACATAATTATCATAATCCTCCTGCCCCAGAAAGCAACAGTATGAACATGAATCTATATATTTCTCTCCAGACTAAAGCTTAGCCAAAATAAATATTTTAGCTTCAGTGTTTTGAGTTCGGTGGTTTAAGCAATTTCTTGCCATTCACAGGCCTGCAAATATATGTTGAAGTCAGTCTCTAGTTTCTAAATTCTTCCCATGAAGCTTTTATTCTCTCCCTCAAAGTAATTTTCAACCTGTGAGATTTGCATTGTCTGCTGTAGAAAAGGTGTGTGCCTTGTGTGTGTGTGTGTGTGTGTGTGTGTGTGTGTGTACACTCTCTTTTATCTGCCTTGTTTCCATTGTCTATCCTTCCATACTCTCTGGAATTTCTTCCAGTACATTTCAAGGTTTATTAACTGAATCCTGTTTCCAATGGTTAATGAACAAGCCTTGACACCAGCTAAATGGTGCTTATATTTGAGTAATACCTTGAAATGGCCCGAGAGAAATTCCAGAAGATTATTTTACTTACAAAGAGAAATTGTGTGTGTCTGTATGTGTATAAGCATGTTTTTGTACACATACACATAGAGACATACATAAACACAACCTCTGCTTTGGATGTATATGAGCATTTACTTTGGGGGAGGGAGGTCACTGTATCAAATTGACCCTTAATATCTGAAATGAATACCTATCTGCCTTCGTTAAAATATGAACTCTAGCAATAACCCAGTGATCATTAAATAAAGTGTTCCCTGGTGTGTCCCAGTGTATTGGAAAAGGTGAGGCTATTGCTTGTTCCAGTCTGCAGTCAAACATACACTTGGGGATTCTTTTAGATTTGCCGGGAGATAGGGAGAAGGGGGCAGTGCATGCCTGCCTTTTTCAGGCATAGGAAATGTGGTAGGGGAATTTGGAGGAAACCATGCCATTACAGCATTACAAAACAAAGTCTTTTTTTTTTTTTTTTTTTTTTTTTTTTTTTTTTAGCATGAAAAGAGCTGAAACAAAAAGCAGCAGCATGAGCAAATCACAGGGCAGCAGGGACATTGTGGGAACATCGAGTGACTCAGTGGTTGCAGAGATGGCAGTAAGAAGAGGTGATAGCCAGGCTTCCTCCAGTGCCTCTCCAGAGTCCTCGGGGCAAGCAAAGGATTGCACACAGGCAGCTGAGAGCCACTGGGGGCTCTCTGTTCAAAAGCTGGAACATGTTCCTCAGACCCAGCCAGAGGATACCGGCAGCCAGCACAAACCTCATCCTGGGGCGTGGTTACAGACGGGGCTTCGAAGTGGGAGCGCTGTCTGGAGCTGTGAGTCAGCAGCACCGGGTCCAAAACAAAGTCCACGAGGGGCCCGAGCACAGCAGAAACGCAGGCCCCGCGGCTCTGCGCAGGGCTCCGTCCACTGCAAGAGAGTTTCTCTTGGAAGTGATCGATTCCTCCCGCGAGAAATGAGAGCGGGAACAAGCCAGGCTGTCGGGGTTTTGCCAACATCAGAGCTGTCAGATCCGGGGTTACTTTTGAAAGAGGATTTGGCAAAAGCCATGTCTAATGAAGAGTTGCATGTTTTGGAAAATCTCTCCTCCAGACATCTTATGAAAAGTGAGCCAGGGAAGGCCGACCAAACCAGCTCAACCACCAACACTGAAAGATTAGCTACAATCCAGGGCAGCCCAGGCAAAAAAAGGAAGAAGTCCGAAAGAGGCCACTGACTTACTAAAGAGGATTGCAGAGTTGTGGTTCAGGGATATAGTGGCCAAACCTGCGAAAAATGAGAAGTATGTGTAGATGCTGTGATTTCAAAGGAATTAGAATGACTTTTTAAAAAGGAAAAATGTATCCTTTTGTTGGGGTTAGCTTTCAAAGAAGTCCCTTCCAGGAGCCTATCTGTTTGTTCTAACAACATGGCTGCCTTCCCATCAAATGGTGTAACTGCCTTCAGAAAACTATTTTAATGATAAACATCCATTCACTGTCAGAGACGACCCTACTCCTGAAGAACTCCACAAAGCCCAGCCGGTGTGGCTCAGGGATTGAACATCTACCTATCACAGTTCATTTCCCATTCAGGGCACAACCCGGGGTTGCCAGCTCAATGCTCACTAGGGGGCGTGCAGGACGCAGCTGATCAATGATTCTGTCATCATTGATGTTTCTATCCCTCTCTCCCTCTACCTTCCTCTCTGAAATCAATAAAAATATTTAAAGAAAAAAAGAACGGCATGTCAGTACAGTGTATCCTCCTGCTCCTTGGTTGAGTAGGGGGTCCAGGCAGGAGCAGGCTCGTGGTTCTCAGCAGCTTGTCCCACGCCAGCATCATTGTCGGAAAATGTGTTAGAAACGCAGAGCTTGGGCCCCACCCCAGACCTTCTGAGGGATTCTGAAACATGCTCAGTCCAGACCCACCATGCTAATTGGAGACTCCCAAGCATTTATTTTCACCAGCCTGGTGAGCATGGCCCCCAGCTCACCCGCTGGACCACATGCGGACACGTACACACTTGTAAAGCACTTGAACTCAGTGCATGAGTCACTGTTCCTAGGTGTTATGGCTGCCACGGCACCTAGATCGCTGTTACCCTAAGAATCTCAAGACCTTTCACAGGTAATTTGGCCTAGTGCTAGAAGACACGGGCAGAGCCTTGTTCTTGCTTGTAGCTCCGGCCCATCCTTGCCCTTACCTCTTAAGATTTTGGTTAGGTGCAGGATGGACGAGAACCCACAGGGAACTCCATGGCCAGGGTTTCCTGTTTCCCGTTTGGAAGTCTTCAGAGGCAGTTTAAATTTCAAAACAGGAGTCTTCGATTTGCAGTCGTACCCACTAATGTCTACAGTGGGCTGGCTGAAAAGTTATGTAATGACTCATAGCCACAACTTAACTTTGGATGGACACCTACTCAAGATTTTCTTCACTGAATTCATTCTAAAGTAGGGAAGAAATCATCTTCAAAGCACCCATCAACTACATCTTTTTTTTCAGTTCAACATGGGTAGTCCTTTGAAGTAGCCCCTCCCCAGGAACAAGCAGAATCAGTATCTTCCCAGAAGTGTTGAAATTAGCAGAAAAAGCCCAACAAAATATAAGAATATGGAAACAGACCGTGTAAGTCCATGTCTAAGACTAATCAGTGGTTTCTCTCGGTTCATTCTATCCTCCCCACGTCTCCTTGCCCTCTTGTATAGGAGGGGAAGACTCACTAAGCAGCAACCATTTTGGGTCATGAAGTTCAGTCATGGTCACCACACCTGTGTATGGATATAGATGCTCTTCCTTTTATGTTCCAAACCCTGGAAACCTGTCCCCTTCCTGTGGTCCCATCCTCACCACCCCCACTAGGAGCATGGCTCTGCCCACTGGTATCTTTTCTTCTTCCCTCCTACTTTACTTCCTCCCCCCAGTTCATTTCCATGAAAGGATTCTATAGGAGAAGAGGAAGCCCAACAGAATGTGGACCCCAGTGAGCAGATTCTGCTCATCAACAGGGGTACGCTGCACAGAACGCACAACTGAGCACATAGTAGAGCGTGAGTTTCTGTGGCCATTGTGGGCCTCTCTCAGAGTGGCCAGGAAGCTAGGCCTGCTCTTCATTGAAGACAGAACCGCCGGGGCCGGTTTGGCTCAGTGGATAGAGTGTCGGCCTGCGGACTGAAAGGTCCTGGGTTCGATTCCGGGCAAGGGCATGTACCTTGGTTGCGGGCACATCCCCAGTGGGGGGTGTGCAAGAGGCAGCTGATCGATGATTCTCTCTCATCGATATTTCTAACTCTTTATCCCTCTTCCTTTCTGTGAAAAATCAATAAAATATATATTAAAAAAAAAAAAAAAGACAGAACCACAGTGTTATTGAGGGTTCTTAAACAGAAACAAGTTTTGGGACAGTTTCATCAAAGGGGTCCCCAATGACCAGGCGATAAGCCAGGAAACAGTAAGCTCCCTGGAACAGTCTAGAATAAAGACAGCCATTGCAGAACAGTAGCTTTAGAACTAGAAGGAGATGTTTGAACCCAAAGCACCAGAAAAAGTTTGTATTGAGAAGTTTTTATTTTATTAGTTAATCCGGGCCGGATGATTAAAATCCATTCTTATACTTTTAATGGTTTTCTTTCAAGTCTTGGCTTTGGAGTTCGGAGTATTGGTGTGAATAACAGGTACTGTGATGCAAAAGGGAAATGGCACCACTGGTGGCAGGTGGACATGGTCTTTCTCACTGCCATCGTGCACCCGGGGTTTTAACAGGATCAGAGGGCCCTGCCGCCCCCACTTCTGCACCTCAGCATGTGTTTTGGGAGTTCTGCCCCTGAACATTTTTCTTCTCCATGTCTGAAAGCCCCCTGGGGCTCCTGTTACTGGAATGGCCATGAGATTCTTTGGATATTTAAAGGTACACAAGGGAAAATGGCTGCCAGGGATTCTGGTTGCATATTAGGTGGGAAATGAAGAGTTCTCTATTGCTAGGATTGGTGTGTGTTTTGATATTTGTAATAATCTTAGTAATTCAGCCACTGAAAATCTGAGACCCTATCAGTATACTTAGTCAAAAAGTGGTCTTCAACCACTTATATAATAACCCAGATTAAATGTGTGTGTGTGTGTGTGTGTGTGTGTATCCTATCTAATAAAGAGGGAATATGCTAATTGACCATCACTCCATCACAAATATGGCTGCACCCACAGCTGAGGCCTTAATGTGCAATCAGCAGGGACCTGAGGCTGCACCCTCCCCTGCCCCTGTGGGGCTTGACAAGGACCTGAAGGTGCGATTCCTGTCCTGTTGCCAGGCTAGGGGACCTCAGGCTGCTCCCCCTGCCCTGGCACCAGACTTGGGAACCTCAGACTGCACTCCCTGCCCAGCAGAGCTTGACAGGGGGCCTCAGGCCATGTCCCCCTGCCTAGCTGGACTTGACAGGGGAACTCAGGCTGCACTCCCACCTAGCAGGGCCTAACAGGATCTGAGGTTACACCCCCTTCCCTGTGCTGGGCTAGGGGGCCTGGGCTGTGTCCCCTCGCCTGCCTGGCAGGGCTTGATGGGGGACCTCAGGCCATATCCTCCATCCAGCGGGGCTTGACAGGGGATCTCAGGACATGTTCCCCAACCAGGTCTTTGATGCCCCAGTCTGGCTGGGGAACCTCAAGCCATGCCCCCCATCTTGGTGCCAGGCTAGGGAACTTGAGGCTATGTCCCCTGCCCAGCAGAGCTTGACAAGGGTGGGACTGGCCAGGTCTGGATCTATAATAGCCCAATTGGGGGTGGGGGGTGCTGCTGGGTCTGGTCTCACATGATTTTGAGGTGCATGTGGGTAGGCAGGGACTTGACTCTGGGTTCCATGGTGAGCCCCCGACTCTGACAGGAGGAAGGTTTTCATATACATTTTATGAATTTTCTTTTATTTCTGACACTTCTATTATAGAGAAAGGGCAAATAGCAATATTAAATTATTTCCTCTAATTAATCCCCTTTTAATGTGCATGAATTTTGTGCACTGGGTCACTAGTGTGTGTCTGTGTTTGAATATGTTCAAGTTCCCGTAGTAACTCTGATGCTTAGAAGAAACATGGATCCAATTTGATTAATGTTATGACTTTGAACTCCTTAACTTTCTCAGTGTCGTGACTTCTAGGTCACCTCCATGTGCTTTCAAATAACTTTTTAACAGATTGGTGTTAGGTATTGCTTTGCTTTGTTACATTGTGGTGCTTGTTTTTTTTTTATGTCTATAAACAAGAAATGTCAGAACAGCCTGTGATTTTTTTTAACACATTTTTTTCTTTTCTTTGCCACTGGGGGATTAACTGTTCACCAGAGATGCATATAAATTGTTAAATGCCAACGAGCAAATGTTGGGAGAGAGGTGCTGAAACTTTTTTGTTCTTATTTTTACTACAAAAAAGTAGGAAGATGTTTCTCATTTTATAAAAAGCAAGAGTCACAGAACCCCTCTATGTTTTGATTTATGGAGAATGTAGCGTCTCTGCACGAGGTATCGCAAGATACATTTTGGGGACAACAAAGTAATTGCTTGTAGTGTGATGTGTGGATTTTAGCGTGAATTGCTGGTGGTCTTTGATTCAGAAAGAACTTGCTGAGGGCAGAGCAGGAAGGGAAGGAAACTCTGCCCAGGAGAACGGCCTGGGCCCACACTGTCGCCACTGTTTCCTTGCTTGGCAGGCCCCACTGTAGTATTTCCACAAAATTCTCGTGACACGCCCTCCTTTTGAGGTAACAAGTGGCTTTCTTAAGAACTCGTAATTCTCTGCTCAGCAATGCTATGACTTGAATATGGAAGTCACTTCTATTTCTCTTATGAGGAAATGTCCATGCTTGGTCTGTTAAGATGAGATAATTCATTTCTTGTTACTGAAACACTAATGAATTGAACCACATTGGCGCAAGAAAAAAAAAAAAATTAAAATTAAGCTTATCTCTATTAAATGGTTTAAAGCCTTCCATGGTACAAAATAAATTAAGCATTGTGATATGAAGTTAATCCAGTTTAATTATTCAGAACAGAAATCTAACCAAATATGTTATTGGAATTACAATTTAATGATATAATTAAAATTCTCAGAAATCTGCTGAATCTCCTTCTCATTTGGGGTTTTGTATTTATTCGACAAGACAAGAAACACATATATGTCTATGTGTAACTTGACAGAGGAGACTTGAGTGGGTGAAATTATTCTAATTGTGGAGAACTACTCAGTTCTGGGCTT